GGGGGGGGGTGAAGGGGGCTTTCTGAGTCAGGGTTTCTCTGTGTAGCCCCAGCTGTCCTGGAACTTGCTCTGTAAGTTCCTGGGCTCGAAATCAAAGATCCACCTGCCTCTACCAGCTCCCGCACTCCCCCAGTGCTGAAACTAAAGGTGTGCACCACCACTGCCTGGCTTAGAGTGTTCTTCTAGCCACTCACCTGTGATGTCTTCGGATCTCTGCACACTCTACTGCCATCCCAAATATAACAGCACTTGCTGGGATAACTTTCCCATACTCTCCACAATTTCCCTTTTCTCCTTTGGTCTGAAAATATAACAAAAGTCACATCATTCCATGTACAAATAAGAGTGAGTGTGTGTGTGTGTGTGCGCGTGCGCGCGCGCGCGCGCGCACGCACAGGCTAAGGAATTTTTCCTTTAAAAAGTATTTTCACTGTTTTGTGTGTGTATATATAAAGATATATGTTACTTAATGTTTAGAATACAAGTACAAAGAGGTACAGAGGTGTAAAACTATATCAGTTCAGGATACAATTTAATGAAAAAAAAAAAAAGCCCGGTGGTTGTGGCACATGTCTTTAATCCAAGCACTAGGGAGGCAGAGGCAGGCAGATCTACGCAATCAAGGCCAGCCTGGTATATAGATAGAGCTCCAGGACAGCCAGGCTCCATAGAAAAATTCTGTCTTGAAAACAAAACAAAAACAAAAATGGAGGGACTGGAGAGATGACTCAGAGGTTAAGAGCACTGGCTGCTTTTGCAGAGGACCGAGGTTCAATTCCCAGTATCACAAGCAGTTCACAACCATCTCTAGCTCCAGCCCCACAGGATGCAATGCCTTCTGACCTCCACAAGCACTGCACACATGTGACAGATGCACACACATCCCACAGGCACGCACACACTCAACAGGCACGCACACACTCAACAGGTGCACACACACTCAACAGGTACACACACACTCAACAGGTGCACACACATCCCACAGGCATACACACACTCAACAGGTGCACACACATCCCACAGGCACACACACACACACACACACACTCAACAGGCATACACAAATCCCACAGGCACACACACATCCCACAGGCACGCACACATTCAACAGGCACACACACACTCAACAGGTGCACACACATCCCACAGGCACACACACACACTCAACAGGTGCACACACATCCTACAGGCACACACACACTCAACAGGTACACACGCATCCCACAGGCACACACACATCCCACAGGCACACACACACACCCGACAGGCACACACATATCCCACAGGCACACACACACTCGACAGGCACACACTGGCAAAACATTCAAACAGAAAAGTAAATACATATTTAAAAAACAGAAAGAAAAGCAGACTTGACATAGAGCTCAGCAGTAGAGGACACCAGCCATGTGTGAGGCACCAACTCCTCACACCAGAAACCAAAAGAAGAAAATGTCAAAGTCATTATCTATTGAAAATGAACTGCTGTTCCATGTGCAATACACATCGTCTTCCATAACCAGCGGGTTTTATTAAGGTACCTTAGTACAGCCAACGATACAGTAAATGAACTGTACGACACACAGCACGGGGCTACAGCAGAGGAGTTCAGTGTTCTGTCTAGTCGCCTGAACTCACCGAGTACCTTAGGATATTACCGAGCTAGCATTACTATCCTCTTTTCTAGAGATCTGCCAAAATTCCGAGCATTAACACCGTAAGATTCAGAGTACTTCCCTCTCCAACAACTCAAGGATTTTAGTCAGTCCCTCCACAAATAGCATCATTCATACACTCCCTTGTCATCGAACTCTTAGCCGTAAACCTCACTGGTACACACAGTGCGCACTGTTACACCACTGTAGCTCACTGGTACATACAGTGTGCACTGTGTTACACCACAGTACCTCACTGGTACACACAGTGTGCACTGTGTTACACCGCAGTACCTCACTGGTACACACAGTGTGCACTGTGTTACACCGCTGTACCTCACTGGTACACACAGTGCGCACTGTGTTACACCGCTGTACCTCACTGGTATACACAGTGCGCACTGTGTTACACCGCTGTACCTTACTGGTACATACAGTGCGCACTGTGTTACACCGCTGTACCTCACTGGTACACACAGTGTGAACTGTGTTACACCGCTATACCTCACTGGTACATACAGTGTGTACTGTGTTACACCGCTGTACCTCACTGGTACACACAGTGCGCACTGTGTTACACCGCTGTACCTCACTGGTATACACAGTGTGCACTGTGTTACACCGCTGTACCTCACTGGTACATACAGTGTGTACTGTGTTACACCGCTGTACCTCACTGGTACACACAGTGCGCACTGTGTTACACCGCTATACCTCACTGGTATACACAGTGTGCACTGTGTTACACCTCTGTACCTCACTGATACACACAGTGCGCACTGTGTTACACCACTGTACTTCACTGGTACACACAGTGCGCACTGTTACACCACTGTAGCTCACTGGTACATACAGTGTGCACTGTTACACCCCTGTACCTCACTGGTATACACAGTGCATACTGTGTTACATGCTGTTGAATGCTTTCTCTTGTTTCTTTTCAGGTACACAGACATACTCTGATATATTTCCGGTCTTGCGAACATTCTCGGGCCTCTTGAAATAATAAATTCTTAATCAGGTTTGAGTGTTTTCACGCAGCTTACCTTTGGTTGCAGAAGTAAATGCTCCCATGCATGAATTAAACTCTCCACAATTCCTTCTCCAAACACACCTGCATCGACAGTTTCTGTTACAACTAGGGACACTCTATAGAATGATGTTTTAAAGATACATGTAAGTAAAATGACATGCTATTTATATAAAGCTGTCAAGACAAGAGAAAAAGGCAAATATGTTACAGAAAATCTCTATGTAAACTTTCCTGATACATTTTATTTTAGTATCTTCCCCTGAATCCTGAGGTGTCCCTTGGGCTCCTCTCTTCATCAGCTCCCTTTCCTTAATCTAGGCATAAAAGGGTTGCCTTCTCAGACTCTCATTCCCTGCCTAAGTCCTTAAGAGTAATTGGTACCCACATCTTTACTAGTCCCTTCCTTAACATCAAACACTGAATTCTAACACCCCAGACAAATGTTTTTCTCCCAGCCAGAACTTGGGATGTGGAGACAAGAGGATCAGGCAGAAGTTAAAGGTAATCTTTGACTACATCGTGGATTTGAAGCTAGCCTGGACTACATGGAACCCTGCACTAAAAGAGCAAAAGCAAATCAAGGAGGGAATACATCCAGATTCTCTACCATCAATGACCCTTCTCAAAATGAATTTTTGTTTTGTTTTTGTTTTTTGGAGACAGGGTTTCTCTGTGTATTCCTGGCTGTCCTGGAACTCACACTGTAGACCAAGCTGGCCTCAAACTCAGAGATCCTCCTGCCTCTGCCTCCCAAGTACTGGGATTAAAGGCATGTACCATGCCACCAGGAATGAATTTTCTTTTTCAGCTGTCTTTTTTTTTTTTTTTAACATGTTTGTTTTGTGTGTGAATACATGTACACACTCTTTCTGTGGGTACAGGTGTACCATAAGGCATGTGTGGATGTCTGAGATGGTTCTCTCCTTCTACCTTGTGGGTTTGAGGGACTGAACTCAGGTCATGAGGCTTGGCAACAAATGTCTTTACCCAGTGAGCCACCTTGCCAGTCCAGTTATGATTTGATATGCAAATAACATTTAATGCTGACAAGAACCTTCCCTCCCAAAATTCCATCTTGACCGTCTACATTACACGTATCTGACTACGCCTCTCCTACCCCTTCTCCAGTCTCCACAAACCTACCCCAGAGGTCCGCTCCTTTCCTCATTCATTCCTTCTCAGAAAGAAGGTTTCCCCTTCTCTGAACTTCTCTAGCTTTCACTGCCGGCACCGTTCACTTCTGTATCTAAAGATGTACAAAACTGTCATAATAGCCCTTATGCTCCTCTCCAGATGTGGAGGCATCTGAGAGGTAGGGATGACTTGGGTATCCTCCACGGTACCTAGACCCAACTATCTACAGACAGAAAACATTCACTATTTATAACCGCATACACTTAGAATATGAAAAGTACCTCAATCATCTAGTCCTACAACTTAGTCCAGAAATTTGCTTATGGCCAAAGTGAACAAGTAGGAATCTGAACTGAAATATCTATTTCACCTGCTTCAAAAGCACTCCGTGAGGAAAATACACATTACAGTAACCTTAGCTTCATGCCAGTCCAAATCTTATGTGGAAGCCCTAATCGTATACTTGGAGACAGAGCCCTTAGGAGGCAATTAAGGTTAATGAAGTCACCAACATGAGGTCCTAATCCAGCAGGACAGGTGTCCTACTGAAAGAACCAACACTAGCATTAAGTCACACACAGGAAAGGTCCCATGAGGACACAAAGAACAGGTAGCCAACTGCACCCAGGAGGAACCCTACCTGAAAAATTATGTGCCTGGTGTTTAAATTCTGTGATCTTAGGCTCCTAAGACAACTTAGGACAACGTTTCTGTTTTGTATAAAGTGAGTATGCACCTGCATTAACATGATAAACTTCTTCTCTAACAAACACCACTGACAAGTGTAAGTACCACGCACACATTATTAAAACTAGAAGAAGACTTAAAAATCAGAGTTCAAATAACAATAGAGTACCAAAAACTTCTTTACATGTAGACTACATTTAAGTAAG